CGGGAAAAAAGTTTCTGGAAAAAAAACCTGGAAATAAAAACTTTGGAAAAAAAGTCCGAATTTTCTCAAGTCCTTGGAAAAAATGTCACTGGAAATAAAGTCCTGTGTTTTGGATTCTTGGGACTTTTTTTTCCTAAAGTCTCGAATTGGTAGGACTTTATTTCTGGAGACTTTTTAACAAAAGGACTTTTTTCCACAGGACTTTTCTAGTGTGAAATTTTAGGACTTTTTCCCGGAAACTTTTTTTCCAAGAACTTTTTTTGGCGGTTACCATTCTGTTGGATCAAATAATCAAAATTTAAAATATGTATAATAGGTTCACACCAATAGGTTGCAAAGGTATAGGAAATAGAAAATTTGAATTTGTGACAAGTTTGCAATTGCTGAAACTAATAAAGTTCAGAGCACTTTCTCACTTAACTAAATAAAATAATTAAAAACAAAACAAATTAATTTAGAAATATAAATATTTGAATTTCTAAAGATCTAAATTTCCTTACCTTAAAATCAATAAACCCATTTCCGTCAACATCAAAGGTCCGAAAAATATTAGAGCAAAACTAGATGAAGACGACATTGTTATTTAAAACTTGGGATAAACGAATTGAGTCTTCGCAACGAACTCAAGTGATCTAATCCTTATATCTATATAGTAGATCAGAGTTTGTGGCAAGGACTCAATTCCTTACGAACAAAGTCCATCTACTATTATTTAGCTATATTTGTTGTAATCTCTGTTTGTCTGTTTGTTTGTTTGTCCGATCATAACTCAAAAACCCTCTGACAGATTTGCCTCAAATTTTGATTGGGGAAGTCGGGCCACGGAAATGTTTTAAGTTTGGTTTGAGATGCTAAAATGATTGGGTCTACTTTTAACAGGGAATAGCTTAAATTATAATTTACGACAAAGAGCGGGTAAATGGGGGGATTAATTATGAGTAAACTAGGCATCGCTGGGTTCCCAAACTAGTTGAATCATATTGTTGTATCTTTGTAACAGAAATTGTCAAAAGAAATATTTTCGAACTTGAATCATTAATTGTAAAATTGTAAAATGTCGTCTTCCTTTGCCGCGTCATTGCTTGGGAAGAATTTGCTGAACATTTCGATAAAAAGATTTGGTTTCAGTTTCCCACTAAACATAAAAATATTAATTTATTATGATTAAAGGGACAGTTGGCGCAATTTCATGTCGGATAAACCGATAAACCTCAAAATTTTCGAATGATCAAGACAGAATATTTAACTTTGAAAATAGATTATGTTTAATTGTGGTCTCTAATTGTACTTTTCTCTTTAAATTACAATTGCAGTCTCTTTAATTCAGACAAAATATTTTGTCTTTTTTTTATTGTTTTAAACTTTGTTTTCTTCTACAGCCTAAAGGGATTGTTCCTATGTTTGGTTAAAGTATGAGATATCAGAAAATGAAAAAAATATTCTTGTTTCAACTTGCAGTTTTTTAATTAACTTATTTAACTGACTCTGATTTTCTAATCCCTATATCTTTGCAACCCAATGTCGTAGACCTTAAGATTTTTCAAACTTTTCAATCTTTTCAAGATTTAAGGGTTTTCGTTCACAAAAAAGTAGTTCCGCGTACTTTATAACTTAAATATCTGAATAATCACTTTCGCAAAAAACTGTTTTGCAACAACATTTTTAACCTGGGACAATCGTAGAGAAATCCATCCCACCATTCTAATACTTCAGTTTCAGTGAACTTAGTATGCTTCACAATAAACCTTAAAGAAAAACTATTATCCGGCGCCCTGTTCTTTCTTAACCCTATCCCGATCGGGATATTTTTGTCTAATGTAGATGGGGGGGGGGGGCCTCTCTATGATTTTGCCCTTAGAGATTAGATAGGGCAGTGAGAAACATGTCCCCAGTCCAAATTTTCAGGGCCTGTTCATTAAAAAAAATAATCAGACTCCTTACTGGTTAGAGTTCAATTTGCAAGGGAGGATTTTTAAAAAGTTCAAAAAGTGCGTCGGATAAAGGTTCAAAAATAAATATTTTTACTTTTGACAAATATGTATAACATGTTATTACATCTATTTGTCAAGAGCTTTTTAAATATATAAACTTTAGCCCTGTAGCCTAATTAATAAATAAGTTATTAAACATTTCTGATTTTTTAAACACTGTCCTCCACACTTCTCTAAGCATCAAGTTAAAATAAAAATTAGCTAAATTTGTTTCATTTATAAAGTTGAAAAAGGGAAGAGAGGAATTAAGAGAATCTCTCGGTATGAATTTTTTTCAGTCCCTTTCAGCCTGAAAAGGGGGGGTGGAAAAGAGCTCCCCCCCACTCGTATTATGGTCAAGGTTAAAATTCAAGGAAAGTTATTTCAGAGGTGTACGGATCTTTTGTACTGCAGTGTACTGTCTCTGGACGGTAATGTGAACACAAGACGGATGTCGAATCCTGACATGGGATCTATCTTTCACATGAAAAATAAATGAAATATTCCATGGTTATAGGAAACTATTATGTAAATTATCAAAATTATCAAAAATTAAAGGGAGTGTTCGCGAAAAATGAAAGGGGGTATAGGCTTAATGCGATAAAAAAGCGCTTTTGATCGCTACTAATTTTACTTCTATCTGTTGCGTCTATAAGGAGAAAATTGTTAAAAACGACTCACACCGAAGAACGTAGTGTTTATTCAAATTTGGAAAGATGCAACATTCAACTCGGATCGTAAAAAATCTATTTAATTCCCAACAAATCATTCAGATATTACAAACAATAGTCATCGATTATTTTTCGACGCATTCGTAAATAGTTGATATTTCATAATATTTTGTATTTTTCATGATCTGAGAGTTACATTTTTTCCTGTTTCGAGGATTTTTGATAATGAAGACGACATTTTCATATTTTCCAGGAATGTTCGAAAATCCAGCGCCAGCGAAAATTAATCTAAAAAAAACAAAATCAAAAATATTATGAAATATTAACTATGTATGAATGCGTCGAAAAATAACCGATGACTATTGTTTGTAATATCTGAATGATTTGTTGGGAATTAAATTGATTTGTTTACGATCCGAGTTGAATGTTGCATCTTTCCGAATTTGTATGGGCGCTGCGTTCTTCGGTATGAAACGTCTTTAACAATTTTCTCCTTATAGACGCAACAGATAGAAGTAAGATTAGTAGCGATCAAAAGCGCTTTTTTATCGCATTAAGCCTATACCCCCTTTCATTTTTCGCGAACACTCCCTTTAATGCTTTTTCCCTCCACGGATACTAAACGAACGAGCTGATGCATCTATTCTTGTTTTCAAATTCCGCTCAGCGAGAACTGGTTTCAATATGTATGCAGATTGCAGAGTATACGCAACTAACTTTCCTTGAATTATAACCTTGATTAGGTTTAATTATTTTATATTGCAGTTTCTAGGTAATTAAAAGTAACAATTTGTAAATAAATCATGCATTAAAGTCCTATTTAAAATTATTTCTTTCTTCAAGTAAAATCTGACGCATTTAAAAAAAGTATATTGACATTTTTTCTTTTTAAAACTTTACTTTTACTGAATCACCATGTAATAGTGCAATGAATATATTCCTGGTAAAATTGACTAGATAACTTCAAATAAGCGTTTTATGCAATTAGAATTTTTTAATGTTTAATGTCAATAAATGTTTATGCTTAAAGACTTTCCAAGCTTTTACAAATAAAAATAAAAATAGTTGGATAGGGTTTCCGACGAACGAAAAGTTTCGCGAAAAAATGCGAAAATTTTCGGTCGCATATCGCAAACTTTTTCGCGAAATTTTGTGAAAACCATGAGTTTTATAGCTGCAACAATTGATTGCTCAGAAGATTTCTCTGCTCAGAGCTGAAAACTTGAGAATGGTGGATATCGGGATTAATGCTTAATCCACTCTTTTTCTTAATCTCGAGATTAAATATTGCTTGTTCTCCTCTCATTTTTAATCTCCAGATTAATTATCCGATCAGGATTAAGGATATTCCATTCTAAAGTTTTCAGCTTTGATAGATCAATATTTCAAGTTTTATTATGTCGTCATATAAATAATTTCTCTTCATTTACTTTAACTAATGTTTGATGAAGAGAATTTTATTTCATTAGCTATCTTTTTAAGTTTCTGTCTTCCTCCACAAATTTTTGCATTATTTTTATCGTGAAATTTTTGCATCATTTTTTCGCGAAATTTTTCCATTGTCTATTCGCTAAACAGATTGAAGCGAAATTTCGCGAGCGAAGGAAGTGCATTTTCGCGAAAAATGCGAAACGATTTTTCCTTTTCGCTGGAAACCCTAGTTGGACATTAAATACTTACTGTTTATCCTTCTCTTTCAATGTGGCTGTTGAATTACAAATTCCCATTTTAAAAATATTTTTTTTTAATATGAACAATGTGACTCTGAAATGCTGCTGATAATTTTTTTCAATAATCTTTAAGAAGCATTAAGCGGATTTTAAAGTTTCCATGAGTTTTTTTCATTTTATATATGTATATAAATGAACTGTGCCATTTTTACTTTATGAACAATACAAACTAGTTAATGAACACATATGTACAGTAATTTTCTGCGCGGAACTTTTAAAGACAACATCAATCTCACGTATTTTTAATGTTTTACACCATATTCAAGGTTTTTAAATTTTCAGCAAAAGGATTTTATCTCGGTTTAATTTAATTTAAAAAGTTTTAGCTGAACCTTCTTTCAAGGAACTGTTTTTCAAGACGATCGGAAAACGATCTTTTCGTATTTAACTTTTAAAAACGATCGTTTTCTTTTAAATCGTTTCAATAAAGATCTTCAATTTTCATTTATTTTTTATTTAGCAGCAATGGCATAGTCGTGATTAAAAGAAAACATTAACACACTTAATCGATTGATTTTTGTTATTTTTTTAATTTCACTTTTTTTTTGCGGACCACTGTATGACTGGCAGAACAATAAATTACTCGAATAAATCATTGAAGGCTGTAGGTTGAGTACTAGTGTTGATACTTGAAAAGATAAATATATATATATTTGTAGATATTTTCAACATTGATATGATCATGGCATGTTGTACAACTACAAGACAGGTGTAGTTTTATTTGGAATGTTGATTGATTTGTACGGTTATATTTACAGCTGTTGTTGCAACGTATTCACATAAATCACATGGATACCCGACTTCCGCATGTTTTCGTTGTTTGTGTTTTTTCAGATCTCCTCGCTGTGTTGCAGAATATTCACACTGATTACAGGGATTCCTTACTCTTCCATGATACTCTGTATGTGTCTTTTTAAACTTCCTGGCTCTGTGGCAGAATATTTACACTGATTACATGGATACCTTACTCCTTCATAAATACTCCGTATATTTTTTTTTTTAACTTCCTAGCTCTGTTGCAGAATATTCACACTGATTACAAGGATACTTCACTCCTAGTGGATCTTCAATTCTCACTTCACCTAAAAATATTTATTTCTATCACAAGTGCTGTCAGAAAAGGACAAAACTTGATTTAACGTTTATATCAAACTTATTTTTGTAAAATTATATTTAATAGCGATATTGAAATCCAATAACCTTGAATTTCTGTGTTTTCCATCTTAATATCTTCTTCCTTTAAATAGATAGTACACATTTCTTCTTTGATGATAACTTTGTGTTCTTCGTTAATATAGACACTACACAGTACACATATCTTCCACAGGAGATATTTCTTCTTTGATGATAAAATTTTCCATCTTGATACCGTCTTCTTTTATATAAACTGAACACTGTCTTCTTTAATGGTAATTTTATCTTCTTCCAACTCCATCTTTACTCCTTCCAATGATGTTCCAGCCATTTTATTATTAGTTTTGATCAGGACTGTTATTATACAAGAAAATAAATATCTACATAAAGTATAAACAATATGACAACAATTCTTTCATTTAAATCATTGCATTCTGAGATGTCAATTACATGACTAAAATTCATGAAGATCAAAAATTTAAATAATGATGTTTTCACGATCTAATTCAAAAGAATAAGTCAGATATATCTAGTTTTTTTTTGTGAGAGGATATTATAAAGAATGAATTCTTCAAGTGGAAAAAGAGAAAATAGTGAGGAATTTTATTTTAAATATTACGCAAGCGTCAAATTTTTTTTGGTATTTTTTTCTTGATTGGCAAAATTTGACAATAGTCATAAGAGTCGAGTGAAGAGGGAGGCGAGAGGGATAGGCAAATATGTTGAGGGGGCGACCCCCCCCCCGTTGCGCTACTGAATAGAGTAGAATAAAAAGATTATATTACTACAGAAAATATATTTTCGATAAAATTACATCGAACATTTTGACGAGGTTCTTTTTTCAATTATAAATGCTTTTTCTTTATTTTAGGTTCACAACAGAAATTACCACCAAGAAAGAGATTTCTTACATTTTTACGTTTTTGTTGTTGTTGAGATTTACAAGTTAGAAATTACTTGTTCAAGTGAACGCGTAACTTTCTTGTTTACAAATATTACAAAAAATGTGTTCTACAGATACAGATCATTAAAGGATCGTTCAGGCATTAAAACGCGTGTGTTACCAATGACCTATCGAAATTTTTGATGAAAAATCACGTTTTTAACCGAATACTGCTAATATTTAAGCCACACCCAATGCCCTCAAGAAGCCCTTTGGTAGCTGTTTTCTCTTTTTTACAACATGCATCGTACAATACTATTTATAATGCAGAGTGTCCCACGAAACATGACAGAAGTAAGACGACTAAAAAGGTTAAATTTGATTTTTGAATTTTATTCGTAAACCTGATTTTAGAAGTTAATTTTTTGGGTTAATAATCACAAGATATTTTAAAATGTGGTCTGCCTTTTTTATGCTTTTGATAAAATTTCCGCAATTTTTGTTTTTATTTAAAATATTGAATCCTGAACGTATGATTGACAGCACAAAAAAGGCGGAACATGTTTTGTAAATGTCTGGGAGAGTGATTATTGTAATAATAACTGCCGCAACTAATTTCAAAGATCTCAGACGATCCTCAAGTCGTCTTTTTACTGTCAAGTTTCGTGGGACACCCTGTAGATTAACAGCTTTGATTTTCTTAAACAACATAACAGACCGAGTTACAACAGATGTACAACAGCTGTACAACAGCTTTACAACAGCTGTACAACATCAGGCTATTTCTTGGCACAGATTTCAGAGAAAATGGAGAAAGATGAAGGTTAAGGTAGATTCTTGGTAGAAAATATAGAATTTGAAGAAATGAGAAAGAAAACAAGACGCAAACATGTAAAAAGGAACAAAGAGATGAAATAAAAAATAATAACTGATAAAAGAGGAAAATAAAGAGAAATTCTCAGATGACAAATTAATTATCCGATC